CCGTTCCTGCATACAGAACCTCTCCAGATCCTTCAGATTCTGAGCTCCACACTGTGGACTCTCCTCTTCAGCTCATCCTAGAGGTTTTTTTAATGGGGTTTAGGTCAGAGGACTGGGGTGTTCATGGCAAAACCTTGATTCTGTGGTCAGTCAACCATTTCTGTGTTGATTTTGAGGCATGCTTTGGATCATTGTCCTGCTGGAAGATCCTAACTATGGCCCAGTTTAAGCTTTCTGGCCGAAGCAGTTGATTGAATATCTGCTGGTATATGATGGAGTTCATGATACCATGTATTCGAACAAGTTGTCCAGGGCCTTTTAAACATCACAGATCCTCCACCATACTTCACAGTGGAAATGAGGTACTTTTCCGCATGGCTGTCTTTGGTGAATAGAACTCTGTCCTACTGAAAGCTCCAGTAACGTCTGGCAAACTGTAGGCGCTTGAGTTTGTTGGTCCTTGACAGCAGAGGCTTTCATCTAGCAACCCTCCCAAACAACTTGTGGTTATGTAGGTGGAGTCTTATTGTAGTTTGAGAGACGTTCTGATCCCAAGACCTTACTAATGTATGCAGTTCCCTCAGTCGTAATCCTTGGAGAATCTTTGGCCACTCAAACCCTCCTCCTCACTGTTTCTGGGGTCAATATAGACATACGTCCTCTTCCCAGCAGAGTCTTAACATCTCCATTTGCTTTAAACTTCTTAATTATTGCCCTAATGGAGAAAATAGGTATTTTCACAACTAGTTAGCAACTTTCTTGTAGCCATTTCCTGTTTTGTGCAGCTCAACAGTCTGTCATACATCGTTGCCGTTTTCTTTGGTCTTTCTCATAGTGATGGATGGGTAAGGGAATTTGGCCTGTCTGTCACCTCATATTTAAACCCCAGCGAAACAACAAGTCATGGCTGACAATGTAAGTGTTCTTAATCGCTCAGGTGAACTTTAAAACATAAAATATGAATGATATTGATATGAATACTTCAGTTAGGTTACACTCTTAAAAGATAGTAGGGTTGCGAACAACTGTGGAACACAAAGATTTGAGAAAATATTTATTTCATGATTACATTTTGTTTTTTTCTTTTAATCATTACAGCTTAAATAAAAGTTAGATTTGTATTAATATTTTGAATAAAAGATCATAAGGATCAGCTATAAAGAATGTTTTCTACAGCCTGTTTTGCTCATGTTTACCAGGGGTCTCGATATGGAGGGCACTGCATGTGTGAGAAACTTGCCTGAGAACGTGATGAGAAAAGGGAGTGTGTGGGCTGCCTCTTCAGAAAAAAATCATTTTTGATAAGGGCCTCTTTCTAATTGCTTTCATCTAAAAATGCCTTTCTCTCTGCTCTCCTGCCAGAAAATGACTGCAACTCACATATCAGGGGAATATCTGCCTCCTTCTCTCTTGATTTCTGTTTGAAGCTAAAAGGCACAGCTTTAATAAGCTGCACTGCTAGTCATGTTAGAGCTTTGTGCTTGAGGGCTATCCCCATGCTCCTTTTAGGAATGCTTAACACTTGGCTAATTAGCACAGGCTAGCACAATTGTCTCCTTCCAATACACCAACAACCTTCCAGTTATGTGTCTTTCTTTAAAAGATCAGTTAGGGCAATTAGATCTGTTCTTTCCACACAATTGATGGCACAGCTTTCTCTTTTTAGTGCTAACTGCTAGCGCTAAACACTACTTGACTTCTAGGAGGAGCCTGTGCTGTTAGTCTGTACGAGAGTGGAAAGGGATGGATATCAGTGTGTTTGTGTGTGTGGGCGACCGTGTGAAATTTCCTCAGATCCACTCGTGTCGTGAAGATGTGTTCGGAGAGTCATTTGGCAGCAGTAAGCATAGGCCTTGGATACTAAGCACTGTCTGCCAAATGGACAGTTTTTAAAGTACTGAATTTCAAAGTCTCATGTTAAGCCATCTCTCTGTCTCTGAATGAGAAGGACCAGTTTGGGTTAAAGTTCCCGAGTGACCCTAAATGACAGGAGAAATGAAAGGCAACACAAAGCAGGCGTATCGTCTGTATCTGTGCCCAGATAATCTCCTTAACAAGCAGCATGTAGATGTTGCGATTATCTAAACAGACTGTCCATCCTGGCAGGCACATGAGAAAGAGTGAGTGAGTGAGTGTAGTGTCTGTGTTTGTGTTTAATAGGTTGCAAAAATGCATCAGTGTGTTGTGATTGATTATAATCAGTTATAAAAATGTCAAGAATATTAATATAGTTACTTTTTTGTACAAATGATAGTTCTCTCTCAGTATATGTGGTATGTTGTTTTAATATCTATATTTTATGTCTATATATTGTCTGTAATGTTAAATAGTTTGTGTATATAATTGTAAAAAATAATTTCATGATGTGTCGAATCTTTCCTAAACAATCGTCATTCGCTCAGAGTTGTTCTCTTTGGTTTAGACTTTATTTAACCCTTTTTCACAATAGCCATAAAATGCAATTTTCACCTGTTTTAGAGGTCCCTTTGGTTAAACTATGCATTTTTTCTTCAATAATGTTGAGCAGAATATAATGAAATGTGTATAATTTACAAAACGGGAAGCAAAGTAGTAGTTGTAGACAGCTTTTTTTACATCATGAAACCTGCAGTTGTCCTGTCTGTTTTATGTCAACATGGCTATCTTTGCAAAGAGATATGAATTGTTTTCACAGAAGGGGGTTTTCACACCTCACCTTCCACCCCGCATTGCTCCCTAGCAGCTCAACACAGAATCACAACATTGTACAAACAGAGACCCAACAGTGTTCTAGTTTATCTGATAAGAGTTATGGAAAATATTTTCTTTGATTATATGAACTGAAAATATTTAGGTCAATTTCCATTCCGCCAGTAGAATGGCAACTAGGGGGGCTGCCAAGGCTACGTATGCTAAGCTAGGTATAGCTATCATTATCTTAAAACCCCATTGGAAGTATGATTTCACTCCTGCTCTCTTTGCCGTGGTCTCTGTCTCTCAAGGAGTAATTGAGGCTAAGAGGGTTTATCTGGGGTCAGAGCTAAACCAATTGCCTTTCTGGGCCATTGCTGATATGCAGAGAGAAACAGAGGAAGGCAGAGCCATTCTTCTTAAAGAAGGCCCCAAGCATGAGTCTCCCTCTGTCGTATATTCCTCTACCACTCTCTTTATCTCATTTTCTGCTAGGTACATCTTCCTTCGTTCCCCTGTATCGTTCTTTCTTTCTCTCTTAAATCAGTCCTCATTCACTTCTTCCTTTCTCCCTGCCTGTATAAGGGGAGAGGATGTTGGGCAGGGTTGCTGTCAGCAACACTCTTAGGCTAAGGCACTAATTGAGGCTAGCTGGTGAAGAGCAGCGTACTACATTTAGCGCTGTTATTTTCGGTGGGTGTCCAAAAGTCTCTGAATGTGCAGATGAAGGCTAAAAACAGAATACTATCCAGCCAAGCTATCAGATACGCATCCGACGTCTATGAGAGTGCATACGTTGGATAACTGTACTACTATGCGATATGCTAGCATTTCAGGAGCATAGGAAAGAGTGTTATGTTTGGTGCAGCGCTACGTTACGCTAGCCACCATTACACCGAATGCAGTAGTATGCTATTCTAAGCAGCAACTGATATAAAAGGAAGAGAATGTAAAGCGATACTCCCTGGCAGCCATTTTGGAAAACATCTATTCATTAGATCAGTTACACAAACATTTTAAAATAGGACTGCATATTATATTTAGGGCAACATCAAGATGAGCCTATTCACCCACTGCTGGTGTGTTCTTGACAAGAGGCTAGCGGCTGACTCTTATTTTATGCAATTAAATTGATGAAGGTTGTCAAAAACACTGCTAAATATCATAAAAACAACCATTGAGAGGTTGTGATAAATAGGTTAGTATCATTACATGAGTCACTGTCCAGGATTTATAAAGAGATTCAAATACAGATGCGAAACAAAGTCATTGAAGTGTACCAGTCTGGAAAGGGTTACAGGGCCATGGCTAAGGCTCTGGGACTCCAGCAAACCACAGCAAGAGCCAATATGCTCAAATGGAGAAAACTTGGAGCAGTGGTGAACCTTCCCAGGATTGGCAGGTCTACCAAAATTTAACCATGAGCACATCGACGACTCATCCAGGAGGTCATCAAAGAACCCAGACGAACATCTAAAGAACTGCAGGCCTCACTTGCCTCAGTTAAGGTCAATGTACATGATTCCACAATAAGAAAGACACTGGGCAAAAATCGTGTCCATGGGACTGCAGCAAGGTGCAAAGCAATGCTGACCAAAAAGAACACTCGTCTTGCATTTGCCAAAAAACATCTAGATGACCCCCAAGACTTTTGGGATAATATTCTGTGGACTGATGAGTCCAAGGTGGAAAACATGGGTCCCATTATATCAGGCATAAAGAACATCATACCATAAGAAGATAAGAACATGGAATGATCATTTAAAAGTTGCATTTTGTGTTTACTCATGTTGTTTTTTATCTTATATTAATATATTATTGGATGATCTGAACATTTCAGTAACATTTAAGTGTGACAAATTAGCAAAAATAGAAGAAATCAGGTTGGGGCAAATACTTTTTCACAGCACTGTACTTGTTTTTCTTTGGACTGTGACAGTATTATAATACTCTCTTTATAGTTGTTATCTGTCTCTAGCATGATTCTGCTTTTTACTAGAACTTCATCCTCTACAGCTTTCTGGGTTATTGTAAAATCTTCAGGTCAACTGCTTTGTCCATAGAGTTTCTTTATTAAACCTGAAGTTGGACACTACTGGCACCATGTTTGAATCTTTTTCTACATGTATCTGCAGAAGAATTGGTTTTGTATTGTTAAGAACATTGAACAGCAGTGTATTTACAGTACCTCTGTCACAAGAGCCAAAATGTACTTCCACAAGATATCCTACAACACATGTCGTTATAGATGACCAGTTTTGCTTTGCCTTGACTATGGAAACCCAGTGTTGCTCCTATTTTAATGCTTATTGTCCTGTTTCTCTTCTCAGACAGTGAAATCGTCCCTCCAGACTGTCTCCGTCCCCGCTCCTTCACCACAGTCAGAGGCTCCTCCTCGCTGCGCCGTGAGGCCGACGCTTCCCGCCTGTCGGTCAGCCTGTGCGACCTGAACCTACAGCAGGACGAGGCCAGGCTCCGCCTCCCTCCAGCCCCAGCCGCCTGCCCCATCCCCCAGAATTCCCTGAACTCCCAGCAGTCCTCCTTCCTCCCCCCGATTCTGGAGAGTGACCTGCGCTTCCACCAGCTCCGTGGCGCCCACATCAAGACACTGGACGAGCAGACAGTGGCCCGGTCCGAGCACGCTGGCCTGCGTGAAGAGCGCACCCTGGTGTTCACCGAGCGTCCGCTGCGGTCCGGTGAAACCATCTTCATCAAAGTGACCAAGTCCAGTCCAGCCCGCTCTGGCTCCCTCTCCTATGGTGTCACATCCTGTGATCCGTCCGCATTGCGCCCCAGCGACCTACCTTACAACCCAGAGGCACTGGTGGACCGTAAAGAGTTCTGGGCCGTCTGCAGAGTGCCCGCTGTGCTGCAGAGCGGAGATATACTGGGCTTTCTGGTCACACAGGATGGCGAGGTGATCCTGAGCCATAATGGAGCAAGCGCTGGGATGCAGGTGTGCGTCGATAACTCACGCCCGCTCTGGATGTTCTTCGGACTGCATGGTGCCGTCACGCAGCTGAGGATTCTGGGTAGGTTGATGTGCTGGTAAGCTCATACACTACTGATCAAAAGTTTGGTATCACTTGTCATACTATTTTTTATTATTTTATATAGGCTAATAATTATGTATAATACCATAATAACCAGTATAAAATAATTTAATATTATAAACTGAACTAAACTAAATATTTTGTATAATTGTTATCACTTTTAAATACCAGCCACTTGGATCTGGTAACTGTTAATATTATAGATTCATTCTCAATGCTATACAGTTAGTGGTTGTAGGGTTGTATTTTTAGATCAACAAAAAGTTTCTATATGATAAATATTCTGTAAATATGCATTTATATATTAATTTCAGGTTATCTGCCTCAAGATTTGATCATCACCTATGAAATACAGGCATTCTGGATGTTAATTTTATTATATCTTAATTTTCAGGCTTACACAGCTCCCTCAATAACTATAAAATCATCTACAGCTCTGTTTATCATTCTGCACACATCTAAATTTGTTTCTTTTTATAGTGTCCTACTAGTTGTTTCAAATTGTGTTGTTGTGGAATGTTAGCATCATGTTAGAATGATTTCATATTATTTAAAAAATTGGTTCTAAACTTTTGAACTGTAGTGGCTTTTCTCAGTGGCTTTTTTTTTCTTATAAAAACTGATCAAATGTGTGAAGGAGAGTGAGACTAATAGGGTTTAGCCACGTCAGTGCTAATAATGGATTTACGCTGGAGTATGATTAGAGTTGGGTTTATCCAAGAATACAGGTGACACTCTTGTTGTCTACTTTGCTGTTATGTATCTGTGTTAAAACTCTTATGAGATTATCTCAGACTAGTCTAATACAATCTCCTCCCTGTGCGGTCAAACACACTGTACTTGTTCACTGTCAGAACGAAATTAGCTCTGACACATAGCACTCACAAACACCCAGCTTATAAACACAAACAATAATGGCAGAATTGTCATTACTCCTGTTGGCTATGGCTTATGGCTCAATAATCTGACTGATGAGACAGTCAGACTTTTATTAAGGTGCAGACTTTTCAGACACGCTATTCCGCTTATTGACTGTAACTGTTAAGGGAACGATACAGCTGAGATACATCAAAGACTGAAGCTTTTCAGTCGATACTGTGCACCAGATTGTATCTACAAGTCTGCAATCACTCTGTCCTTCGGTTTAAATATTGAGCTGTTTTTACCGTTAAGACCCATTTCCACAATTCTTACCCTGTCTGTGGGTCCACCACAGATCTGGCCAACCCAAACAAGTACTAGTCTGACCAATCACTAATATTCATAAAATTATCATGAGAAAGCGCATCCAATGAATGTGATTTTTTTATTATACCTTTGAGAATTCAGAGTCAGTTTCCTCGATTAATACTTTAATGCTTTGGTTTAAAAAAGCAGATCCTTCTACATTTTAATCTGCTTGTCTCCTTTAATAATGTATTTTCTCAGTGGTGTGGTTATCCAAAAATTCTGAGATTTCAGAAGATTCTGAGATGTTTTGTTTCTGTTTTGGACACAGTTACCAATTTTCGAGCATGTAAACGTATGAATAGGAATGTACTTCATGCTTCCATTGTTACTCTGATGAAACAAATCAATAATGTGTTCTTAGCAATGTAAACTCTGTTCTACAACAAGCACAGTAGCACTTAGAAAGCTCCAATTCAGCATGCTGATATATTTTACTACGCCTAGCTACTTTGAGTGCCAATTTTAATGAGTTAAAGGGGACAGAGTCAAAGTCTCTGAGTGCATCTCCAGCTAGATCCTTGATAAGATAGGGTTAATACACTCAGATTTATGGTTTCTTTTGTATGGGTTCGTAAAGACATATAGTCATCAGCTGCAATCAGTCCTGATGAATATGAATGCCCTATTGTGCTGTCTGGGTATTCATTACTCGCTTTTAAGAACTTGAATGCACTTGAATGTACTGTGATTGCTACCCACACACCTTGCTTCACTCACTGGACGGAGTTATATATAGTCAAGGTAAATGAACCAGGGAGAGCAGACAGAAAGCACCAGAGAGAGAACCAGGTAGAGCAGAAGAGAAAGAGAGAGAGAGAGAGAGAAACTGGGCTAATAACAGGAAGTGCGACAGGAGGGCGTGTAGGCATCTTGTGACCTGCGTTTGGGCTGCGAGTGCTCTCTCTCTGTGTTTCTCAGAGTATATTACGCTCTGCCACATCCTCCCCTTCGCTGTGCCAACTCCTTCCCTCTCATTAAGGTCCTGTGTGGAGGGGACTTGGTGGCAGAAGAGTGGGCGACTTGTGCTTCGCTTTAAAGCATGAACATCTCACACTTGTTTTTCCTCTATGACATTCTCTCACTTATGATGCTCTCTTGCTGTCCAGAGCTCTTCTTACCCTTCGTTCGGCCAGTCATTCTGTAGGAGGTACAAAAAAATGTGAGTTTTTTTATTTTTTTACTTTTTTATTTTTTGTGCCTTTCTGTTTGCTGAGGACTGTAGGCGGGATTAGTGGCAGGGTGATTGAGATTACTGGGCGGCCCACCCACTAATTTCTGTGGTTAGGAAAAGAAAGAGTATTGACTGGAGTCATTGTGTTGCCAAATGTAGCAGCAATATCCAACTGCAGCCCCTTTAAAAGCAAGACCCAGGTTGGGCAAAGCCAAAGCTTGAGTGGATAAATCCAACTAGCTAACAAGCTGTCTACACTAGCTAGCTAAAGTGTTGGTGGGAGTTAAGGTCAGACCTATGGCTAATTATTTCCCCAGCCACATTAGCTTGTTGAAATTGCTTCTTCAGAATTGGTTTGGGTTAGAGATAAGGTTAGCTGCACCGTATCCACATTAGCAAGTTAGCTAACACAGAGAGAGTGATATGTGGTTTTAAGGAACTACTGGGGCTTCTTTTTCCCAAGTTGAGGCTTTGCCCAGCCTGGGGCTTGGTCTGCAGGGCTATGAGGTATAAGAGGCTGAAATAGCTTTTTAACGGTATGTTTGAGCCTTGAAAACTAGAAAATGACCTAAACAGAAACTACATGTGACTTGTTTTCTTGGTGATTGATAGGTGGCCTGATAGAAAACATAGATTACAAAACACTCTGCGCTTTCTTCGCCCCTGTCAATAAGCAGTTTCCATTGCGTTGCACTTTCCATCTCACGCTTCTCCTCCATTCCTGTCCGTCTTTTTCCACAGTACAGGTGCGCGTAGGAGAGCAATTACCCTGCCAATCAGGACCCCCAACTGATCAATTAGCACTTGCTTTTCAATTGCATCGTTAGCAGCCAACCCTGAATGCCTTGCAGTAGCAGCAGCAGCCGCAGTTCTGGAGGCTGAGCTCTTATTGACGGGAAGCAAGCGTCTTTATCAGAGCCGTCGTAGCCCAAGACATGGGCGGTCTCGCTTGTCTTATTATGCCAGCCTGCAATTAGGAAGCGGCCACGGAGCGACGTCAGGCAGCCCTGACGTGTCATCTCTGCTTTCCTGCCAAAGACAATAGTATCTAAAAATATTAACAACCCCCACTCGAAAGAGATGCAGGAGATGGTGGAGACGAGACTGAGAACGAGCTGCTTCATGCTGTCTTTTTCTTTAATGGAGTTTAATCAGCTGGTGTGAACAGCTGAATGATCAGCTTTGAATTGCCTTAGTTGACTTTCATTTTTCTGTGCTGGATGCCCAAAGCCTGACCTGCAGAACTCTCTAATCTGCAGCATCAAAGCAGAGGTTTAAGTGTTAATGAAGGTACTGTGTCAATGTAGCACCTCATCCAGGGTGTCAGTAGCATGAAATGTTGGTGACGATGACACAGTTATTCCACTGGCCAGCTCTTATTTTAAATTTAGACGTGGTTAATTTAACACAGTTTGGTAAAATGGTTTCCACAGATTCCTAATAGCAGTTTCTGCCAGTACTGTGCAAAAGTCAGTGACCACCCTTCATTTATTTAATCTCTAGTCAAATGCCCATTATATATGTTATTAAGTTTTTAGAGGCAGGAGAAAACAGGAAACATAGATTTAACAGACAATTATGCAGGAGCTTCAACAACTAAATATAATATCAAAAAAGTAATGTTGAGGTCTGGACTCTGGGGTGGTCAGTCCATTGTTCTGAGAACACCAGCAGCTTCTTTCTTTGATTTATAAAGTGTTTTTTTTTTTTTTGTTTATACTCTTTTCTAAGTAACAACTTCTTGACAGCTACACATCCTTTCAGACTCACCGTGCTGAGTTGTCTTCTCACAGTGGAAGGATGGACAGAAACACCTGTGGATTTTCAGATCTGAAGTAAGAGTGGAGTTTGATTTTCTCCTCTCTCAAAGATGAAAGCTTTAAGTACAGCTTATCTGATGGGGACAATGTTGGTGGTCTACCAGGTCTTGCACAATTGTTAAGGAGTCCCATTTTCTCCATGTCTTTTAATCATTTTTGAACTTGTGTTTTCACTTATTTTCTTTGACTTTCCTCTTCCTTGTGCATTTTGATCATTTTATATTTAATCTCCTCAGAAAATATGAATAAAAACTTGTAATTAATGGCCATTTTGACTGGAAAATAAATATTGCCATTGATTTCTTCTTTATTCATTGTTGTACTTCTTTGGAATCTGTGAGTTCAGTGGCCTGTAAAGCTAAGCAATTGTGTTATGAATATATTGTGTACATTATTTGCACTTTTTATCATTATAATGTCCAAACATTGCTTTGCAGTGTATCATTATACCAATATACAAATGTTTTGTATTACTGTTGATTCTTATCTAAGGTTGAACTAGAGACATGTGGATTTTCTCCACTGGACGGCAGTGTTGTTGGAGTGTGTGTGTGTGTGTGTTTGTGTGTGTCCCTGGCTTTCATTATCTCAACAGAAAGCAGTTAAATATTTAGACCAAAATTTCCACACAGGCTTGTATTATAAATGAGAGGCTGTGAGGAATACATGTTGCTGATGTTTGTACTGATAGGCTGACAGCAGGAGTGATGGTGAAGAGGAGAGGCTAATCAGAGACGATGTATTATGCATCCTGTCAT